CTGAGGTTCAGCATTGTTAAAATAGGCCCGAGGTTCAGCATTGTTAAAATAGGCCCGATGTACTGCATTGTTAAAATAGGCCCGATGTACTGCATTGTTAAAATAGGCCTGAGGTTCAGAATTGTTAAAATAGGCCCGACGTACAGTATTTGGATATTTCAAATGTTTTATAATTCTTCAACCTTATGTGGCATATGAGCAAAACGGCCAGATCAGTGAACAACCAGCACCAGCCGTCGTGGTTATTGTCACGTTTATAACGCACTAACAGATGCAAGTGTGAAACGCATTAAACGGAATATCACGGGTTCGAACCTTAGATCCGCACGGTAACCTGGCAAGTTGTAATAAAGTATATGTTTTTAATAGTGTGGCTATGTCGAAAAGCGAAGGCTAAGACTAATCTATCATGATTTCAATAATGTAAGTGATCTTTTAATTTCGGATTCAGTCTGTTATTGTATCTAGTCGTCGTTCCTTGGCAGGTATTGTGGAATATGTTAACAGACACACACTCTTTATGGATAATTACTAAATAAATTTTATTACAAAATCTTTAATAAAATACTATTTAAAAAAAAAAGATACATTTTAAAATCTTTGACCTTCTTTTCCAGTTATAGACGGCGTTGTTTCCCACGACTGGTGTTCAAACTGACCACTCACGTTAAACATAAAGAAAAACAAATCAAAGATACAGTAGAAATAGCTCCTACCGCCAGGGCCTGGAGGTATTGGAATTAACAGGTCTGTGTCTAATTCGTTTATACACATGACCAAGTCTCTATCTCTTTTTTCCTTATACAGTACATTGTCTGTAGTACTGTCTTACTGAGTACCTTGCTTCATTATATACAGATAACAGGCGTTAGGCTTAATATTTCGTCTCAGTCTGGTATTTAATCATTTAAAGTAGACCCTTTATTGGATGTAGTCTGTTATTTAATACCCGAATTCTCTTCACCGGACCACAACTTGGAAGGCTTTAAGTTTCAAGAGATCCTTTTATGCAAGCACAATAGGCTTAGGCATCGTGCACCAAACCAATAATTCCAATTTGAAGCACGTTAGCTCACTTGGGGTAAAACATCCCATACTACCACAGTATTCTAGGTCGGTGTTAGTCAATAGAGTTTTGTACGTCTTAAGGCGTGATTATAACTAACAAACATTTCACGCTGTCGGTGGATCAGGTGTTAACAAAGGTGAAGAACAGACTTTCTGAATTCTTAAAACTATAGTTTTTCACCTTAGTTTGGGCATCGGTGTAGAAATGCTGGATTAGAGGAAAGGTAGCTAGTCAACAACACCGACCAACAATGTAGAAATGTTAGACTAGAGGAAAGGTAGCTAGTCAACAACACCTACCAACAATGTAGAAATGCTGGACTAGAGGAAAGGTAGCTAGTCAACAACACCTACCAACAATGTAGAAATGCTGGACTAGAGGAAAGGTAGCTAGTCAACAACACCTACCAACAATGTAGAAATGCTGGACTGGAGGAAATGTAGCTGGTCAACAACACCTACTAACAATGTAGAAATGTTAGACTAGAGGAAAGGTAGCTAGTCAACAACCACCTACCAACAATGTAGAAACCGCACTCCACACTTTGTGGTAGTGGGTGCGTTACAGCAGTTATGAGGATGAAACCCCATTATTCGATCATATGATAGTAGCCCAAGAGTTTGGTGGTAGGTGTTGTTGACTAGCTTAGCTACCTTTCCTCTAGTCCAGCATTTCTACATTGTTAGTAGGTGTTGTTGACTAGCTACCTTTCCGAACCATAAGTTCCTATAGACAACGACTAGTCCTTAAAATTAGTGACATCTAGTCGCAGATAGCTGTTTTGTAGCTTTGCGCGAAATGCAGTAACAAACACACTTTGCCCGCAGCTAACTTTGACGTATGGCGACCATTTTACTGATCCGTCCAAAATAATCTATATATATATATAGCGTATAATAAATTTAGAAACACAAAAAATCGACAATGAAAGATCTGATGTTCTTGGCAGTCTCAAACCGGATATTATATGCATTATTTATTTAGTTAGTTAGAATTGCGCGTTTTATTATTACTTTTCACGTGCAGCTTTTATTACTTTTCACCACGGTCCTGGGAGTTTGCTAAATTATACGTTTTTTAATACGAAAATCTGTTGTTTTTCTCACGACTAATCAGCCTTTTTTTTTTTTCTTCCTCGTTGTTTATTTCTCCAGCACACATATGTGATGCCTCTTAGTCTCCGTGGCAACAAACCATCAAGCTGCACTAGCAACAGTTTCCTTGGCAACCAACCATCAATTTCTTCTAGTAACCATTTCTCTGATCCTTATTTTTCCCCTGGAATTTATGACTAAGGTGACTGGTCGTAACAAGAGAATCTCAGCAGGAAGATAATTTATTAACAAGGTTCGTGAATCGTGAGACGAGTCGGATTTTCTAATGCTGAAAATATTGGACACAAAACAGCTAAAAAGTTGGATATAATAGTTGTCAAAATATGTTAACTAATCTAAACTAATAAATAATCTTGTGCCAAAATGTCTATTTAAGACTAAAAGCGCCATCTATTTTTACTCTCTTTGTACACACATACAACTTGGATTTTATATTGTACTCATGATGATAGGTTAACGCCGGTAAAAATTTCAACGCATTTTAATCCCTGCTTTATATAAGATTTATTGTTCAGACTTTGTGATAAACGTTATGTAAATTTTAAATAACTTTCAAATTGACAAGAAACATGGGCAGACACACTGCATGATTTCAGTCACATTTATTAGGAAATACTGTCGTCATGGGAAGAGATTACACGAATAACTTCGGCTTTCATGATACATAACAAATGGGTTTTAGCTCTATATCTTCTTGATACGTAACAGATGGGTTTTAGCTCTATATCTTCTTGATACGTAACAGATGGGTTTTAGCTCTGTATCTTCTTCTTGAAACATAATAGGTGGGTTTTAGTTATGTTTCAAGAAGAAGATACAGAGTAGGTGGGTTTTAGCTCTGTATCTTCTTCTTGAAACATAACAGGTGGGTTTTAGCTCTGTATTTTCTTCTTGATTTTCTCTTGTTCAGAACTGCCACTAAAACATGACAGTTTCTGTACAGTTGACTCACTCTCCTAGGGTTCATAGAAAGTACTATATCGGCCGTATAACAGACAGACATCACAGTAAACGTTTAGTAATAACATTTTTTAACTTACTCTAATATCTCTCTTAGGCCTCTAGCAGATTTCAAAAATATTTACCGCTCTGCGCATGATCAAAACAATTGTGTTTCTATTTAATTTCATTTTTTGGCTACAAAATATGCTGTCTGCGTTCGTTTCACTGACCTTAACACATTCTTATCATGAACATCCACCTTCAATGAATGTAAAACGAACCTTTTGAACACGAACTTACTCGTGTATCTGTTGTTTTCAGATTCTCTCTCTCTAAAGTTTCCAACTTCTATTAGAAACTGGACTTTCTTGAATATCGTGGGTAAATAAACTTTAACAAAATAAGATCAATCCCTCTATAACTATTTTAAAATCATTCAATTAGAAGATAAAAAAATACATACGTAATGATTTGGTTTTTCTCCCGGGAGTGGAGGAGTGAAAAACGAAGGATAAACAACGACAGAACAAAATCTCTGATTCTACTGTTCTGTTGAATGAAGAGCCTATTGCCGGAAAAGCTTTGGGGCCGCGAGATCCTGTAAAAGGTAACTGTCAGATCCCACTAATCGGTCAGACAAGAGTTGGCGGTGGGTGCTGTTGGCGGTGGGTGCTGTTGACTCCTTCTCTCTAGTCTACCAGCTAGAAATCAGAAACAGCTAACCACACACAGTTAGCTCTTGTGTAGCTTTGGGCGAACATTGGAAATTAGAGAAATATAAGAAAGTAGAAGTAAACACCACGTTTTTATTACAGAAAGTAGGAGTAAACACCACGTTTTTCCTACTTTCTGTAATAAAAACGTGGTGTTTACTCCTACTTTCTGTAATAAAAACGTGGTGTTTACTCCTACTTTCTGTAATAAAAACGTAGTGTTTACTCCTACTTTCTGTAATAAAAACGTGGTGTTTACTCCTACTTTCTGTAATAGTAAACACCACGTTTTTATTACAGAAAGTAGGGGTAAACACTACGTTTTTATTACAGAAAGTAGGAGTAAATACCACGTTTTTATTACAGAAAGTAGGAGTAAACACCACGTTTTTATTACAGAAAGTAGGGGTAAACACCACGTTTTGATTACAGAAAGTAGGAGTAAATACCACGTTTTTATTACAGAAAGTAGGTATAAGGTAGTAATTTTAGGTTTGGCATTTTTAACTAATCTTTTATTAAAAATAATCTTGAAGTCATTTTTTTCTATCCATAGACAATGTGTGAAAAGCTATAACCCCACCCGTTTGTGGCTCAGCTAGAATTCAGAGTTATATCCCTGTTTGGGGTACTTATAAGGTTGAGGTTTGATCCCTGCTGTGGGCACATCACTGATAGCCTATTGTGCTTAAAACAAACTAATACCGCAGCCATAAGGTATATATATATATCGTTTATTCGCTAACCTTAACCTCAAGGTTGAGGTTAAGGTTGATCGTGATATGAAAAACTACACAATTAAGCAAGGTGAGGTAATAATGTAAGCTATTGGCAAGTGTTTTAAAAAATGGTCATAAGTTTAAAACAACTATTTCAAACGTGTTAGAGACTGGTAATACATCAAACTACAAAATCAGTGCAGATAGAACAGGGTCTAGCATTTAATACAGGTCAAGGTTCAACGTCTCTGACCTTTAAACACTACAATATCAACTAGAAATAAAAATGGTTTCCAAATTTGATAGGTTACTTTGTTTGCTGTTAGATCACAAACCTGCACTTGTGTGGTGCCCACCATAAGGACCGATCCCCGAATTTTAGCGTGAGAAGCCTTGCTCGCTTGTTGCTGAATTTTGTGTAAAGCTACTCAAAGGTTATATGCACTAGTGAACACCCACCCACCCTCTCACACCGCCAACTCTTGGGCTACTCTTTACGAAAGAATAGTGGGATGGACCGTAACATTATAACGCCCCCATGATTGAAAAGACAAACGTATTAGGTGACGAGGTTTGTCCCCGCGACCCGCAGATTAGGAGTCGAGTGTCCTAACGACAGGTCATGTTAGGTCCCTACCTCTGAGCCACCAGAAAACAGCGTTTGGGTTATTTTAACATACTGAGTAAAGAAAGCAAAAAAAAAACACACACACACACACACGTCCACACCCCGGCAACACCTATTTTGTCGGCAAAATTCAGTCATGCACCTCCCCCCTTTCCATAAATATGGGGATTTCACTTCGCCCCTGTTCATAGATCATCACTAGAAGTGATAAAAACCTAAATGACATTTTTATTTTCAAGTCACTACATTTCAGAAACAACAGAACTAAATTCGAACCATCACCTAAGGTTCTCGTTTAAGTTAAAACTTTATATTTTACTCCCAAATTTTACTCCCAATTAACCAGAAGAGGGGGGGCAACAAAACTTAACCTTCGTCAGACTTTAACTCAATTAAATTATAATAACTTCTACTCAGAGTGAAACAGGGTTTGATACTTTTCACTATGATATAAATCCAGCTTATCTCTCTTTCGTTAACTTGTGTTCAGGGTTACTGATGAGGAGTGGAATTCTCCGCTACTAGTATAACCCAATACCACACGCTGATCAAAGTTTAGATTGAACTGGACCTCCCTTCAGATCAGCGATACTAAAACTCAATATGGTGAGAAGTACAACTAACTAAATACGTTTTTATTCTTAAAGATTAGAAGATATTGATTCAACCAGTGGCGGCCCCTGGATTCATCAACTGGGTTCCCTCGCCGTTAACAATATTTTCGGCCGTAAAGTTAACTATTGTTGATGTTGGACTCGACTAATTCGTCTCAACTTAACCTTTATCGAAGTTGGACTCGACTAATTCGTCTCAACTTAACCATTATCGAAGTTGGACTCGACTAATTCGTCTCAACTTAACCTTTATCGAAGTTGGACTCGACTAATTCGTCTCAATTTAACCTTTATCGAAGTTGGACTCGACTAATTCGTCTCAACTTAACCTTTATCGAAGTTGAACTCGACTAATTCGTCTCAACTTAACCTTTATCAACTTGAACTTAAATAATTCGCATTTATCTCAACTGACTATAATTTCCACGAGGTTGGGTTATCTTTGTTGATCTTTTAACACACAATGACTGTTTTACAGTAATTTCGTCCGTTAGATACAGTCAAATTGGTTCAATTTAGCTTTTCAACTTTAGACCTTACTCAGCTACAGAAACCCTGAAACACAACGTGAAAAAGTTGGGTTACTTCGTACTACAAGATGTTATTACGTATCTACCCTATTACTCGTCTCTATCACGGTTGCTAAAATAAACATGTTTTGTGCCTACCGTGAAAGTTTACCGTCGGTTTTTGTATCAGCTACAACTTCTGCCCACGAATGTTCCGTTTACGTCCGATCGTTCACTCGGTGATTCCGATGGTTCGCAGCTCTTCGTCGACTGAGTAAGACTGCCGGAACTCCCGGGTGTTATAGTAACTATAGTAACCATATTACAAGTGTGGGCGGCGCGCTTCTAGCTCGCGGACGGGCCGGGAAATAATGTCCAAAATGCTGCAGTACAGCACACGTCATACGCACTCCCGCATCAAAGTCTTCGTGCGTTATCTCTCCGGGGAGAGAACGTGCTAGAGGCACGAGATATAAAAATGTAAGCGACAAATGTTGCCTGCAGGTTCAAGGTGTCGTAAAGGCAAGAAATATATATATATATATGTCCAATTAGCCAACAATCACACCTGAGTGGGGTGGGGAGGAGGAGAAGGGTAAACGTGTGTGACGCTTCCACAGTGTAACATTAAATAATGAAATAAAACAAACTATCTGTTGGGCTCGTGGATCTGGTTTAAAATCTACATTGGCTATTAAGAAGTACCGAGATAACATCGGTTGTAAAGTTATTACAGTCATTCTCCAAAAATAATGATCTTATCCTGCTTGACCAACGCTGAAACCTGTAGGAAACAATAGGTTTGTTTGACCATAAAAAAATTGACTGACCAGCACGGAGAATTAGGAACACAACTTCCAGGAAGCTGATATCAACAGCGTTCTGATTCAACGTTTTCACCACGTTCCTGCCCATCGAGTCTGACGTTATTTTGAGTAACTGACGACACGACGAGTATACGTTCTAATGGAAAGTTGTGTGTATAATCACGAACGAATCGTGATAGTTATATATTCCTAATGAGTTGTCTTCATAAAATAAAGAGTTCTCTTTACTCGTTAAAACAGAAATGTTATGTTTGTGTGATGATATGTTAACAGGGTAAAGTCAGGGTGTGATGATATGGTAACAGGGTAAAGTCAGGGTGTGATGATATGGTAACAGGGTAAAGTCAGGGTGTGATGATATGTCAACA